AGAGCCATGCTAGTTAGTATTGAACCCTTCTTACCACAGGGTTTCCCAGTCACGAGGTAAGGGCTCTCTGATGCGTGCCACTGATGTCTCTGAAGACTGGCCGAGACACGGTATTCTGACTCTAAGCAGTTAGCCAAAGATTTCCTGACTCTTTCACGTTTGCGTAGCTACATTCTAACATCAGGCCCCGGCCTTGGATTTAGGCTCATGGACTCTGTGGCTGATTCATCCTTCTGATACAGTAGTGGTGCAGCAGGCGTCTGAAGAGCCGAGGCACAGACCAGCACCTCACTGGCAGCAAGTGGAATAATGAACCTTGAGACTTGTATATTTCCCGGTCAGTTCCAGGATGTTCAGGGCTTAAAACATTCATGGGAAAGACCAAGATGCCTCTGACCTCTCCAACTGCAGCCATAGCAACAGGATATATATTTTTTTAAAGCACAAATAATTTAGAAGACCATCCCACCAAATACATACACATGATCACATATCTTGACACACAATCTCTCCGAATAAATAAATAAATAAATGAATAAATACTGCTATTGGTGAGAAAGAAGAGCTCAACACATAAATAATAAATAAATAAAAATAAATAAATAAATATAAAGTTTGCTAGGAGCCCTGGGCAAAATGGTCCCCTAGAGGGGTTTGAATGAAGATAGTCTGTGTCTTCGAGAGAGGCTCTCATGCCTTCACAAGCTCCTGGAAGCCTCTGTCTCCATGAGGGAGATGAGGCGGGGTTGGCAACCTGGCAGGGATGAGGGTTATTTACAGTTGCTGTACATGCCCTCCGGGGGCACCGACTCCTGTGCCAGGCACCTGCTATCCGGCCTTTTGTGGTGTCAGCTTAGGCATCCTTGAGTCTTGGTGGGTGGAGTTTTGGTCTGGGCTGGAAGCCATGGTGGGAAGGCCAGTATGGCCACAGGTGCTCCTCCTTGCCTACCAGATAACGAACTTCTCTGGCGCTCACTGGACCCCTAGGCTGATAGGTTGGGAAAGATTGGCATGGATCGGTCATTGCTTTAGAGATGGGACCCCTCCCCCCAGATGTTTTCCTTGGAGCAAGCGGGATGAACAACGCTGTGTTGTGGCAGCCATCGTGTTCCAGTGTCCGAAGTTGAGGGGAGAACCTCTTTCTCCATGTGCCCTGGCCCTCAGCTGTTGCCACCACAAACTCAACACCTCCTAGACTCTGGAAAGCCAGGCAGCTGGTGAGGGGGATGCCCGTGGGTTTATTTTAAGGACCATCTCCCTGGCCTGCCTGTTCCCAATGTCTCCTGCAGACAAAGCAGCTGATGGTGTTTGTGTGTCAGAGGGCAGCTTGCCCTTGCCCTAGGGAGGAGGAAGGTAGAGCAAGGGCAGCAGCAACCGCTCAGCTTTCCTAAGCTGACAGCAAACTCAGAAGCCAGCAGGAGCCCCGAGCCAGGGATCCCTCAAGTCCCTCTATCAACAGGCTCTCTGGATTTCGGTCTTTCCCCACAACATTGAGCTACATGCAGTGTCCCCGTCTTGAGAAAATTCCTGAGAGGCAAGGAGAATGGTCTCCATGTGAGATGGTAGGTGTCAGCCTGCCCTGGGTAGAATCCAGGGTGTGGCCGCCTGGGCAGTGTGGAGGGGGCTGGCAGGCGCCAACTGGAGGGCAAGGGCAGACTGGCTGGCGCTGGAGGCTGGCTGCTAGCCACAGCAGCGGGAAGGCTCAGCAGATGGTCCCGTGGAATCACGTTGGTGCCAGCTACTGGGGAGGAGGTGAATTTGGGGAATAGGGCTGTGGCCCAAGGGATGCTGACTGTTCCATCATCTTCTTATCGTTATGGGGTCGCAGGGCCCTATGTGACGGTCTCCACAAAGCTGGAACCCACTGCAGTCCCTTCCCTGACCAGGCTGACATACGAGGGGGCAAATTACCTGACTCTTTGCTGCTTGGGGTAACTACAGAAAGCCATGTCCAATCTTCCCCAACATCTGCCTCCCCTACTGACGTCTGCTTTCTCCCCGCAGGACTCAGGAGCTCCCAGCCTTTGCCCACGTTGGGAGGTGAAAAGCCCTGAGCTATTTTCTTGGACTTCACCCTTGGTCTCCTCTCTTTCCAACACTGGGGTCCAAAACGTGCAGCCATGAGACTGAAGGAGGGGAGAAGGAGGTTGGGGTGAGGCATGGATCGACCCTGGCCTCCAGTATACAGCCTGTGAGCAGTGGATGGGTGGAACATGTCACCGCGTGTCTTGGCCAAGCGTAAACTTTTGAGTCACGGATGATAGCTTTCCCCAGGTGGCCTTCTCCGTCGGCCCAGGTGACCCTCAGGATGATGCTGGTAGAGGCTCCTAGCAGCTTGGCAAAGGAACAGGAGTCCCTGTATCCCGTCCCACCTTCCCAGGAACGCAGAGGACATGAGCCAGAAAGCCTTCGTATCTGTCGCCAGGGAGCTGGCATGAAGAGCAGGTAGTAAGGACACAGGCAGAGTACAGAGGGGTCGTCCCGGTGGGCAGCTGGCTCAAAGGAGGGCCCTTGCTTAGCGCCTCGTGCTGGCATAGCTTTCCGCTGAGCTGGAGCTCAGGCTCCGACTCCGACTGCGGCTCCGGGAGCCCGGGCTGAGGCTGCGAGAGCTGGAGCTGCGGCTAGTCCGCGTCCTGCTCCTGGTCTGGCTCCTGCTGCGGCTCCGGCTGGGACTCCGGCTCCGGGAGTAACTGCGGCTGGCAGAGCGGCTGCTGCTGCTGCTGTACCAGGAGGAGGCGCTGCTGAGGCTGCTGGATGAAGAGGGGCTGGGTCGGTAGTAAGGGATGGGGCGTTTGCGGGCACTGTAGAGATCAGAGATAGGATGTGGTGAGGGCTCAGCTCTCAGGGAGCGCCAGTGCTGTTCCCAGGAAAAGCAACGTCCTCCCATCCCCTCAGTCTCTTAGGGACAAAAAAAATTAGAAAAACTCCAAACCCCAACAAAAACAACAACAAATTTCTCCATTTCTTCTCCTCTCATAATTCCGAGACCAAAGAAAAAGCCTGGCTTAGTACTGTTCTATCCTGAAAAAGCGATAATGTCACTTAAAAAAAAAATCAACCAATCATTCCTGGGCTCAGAGTTCCCAGCTGGCAGCACACAGTATTTGCATCAACACTTTAATTGAAGTTTTATTTTTCTATTTTTACTTTTACTAGAAACTCCTATTTCTAGTAGGTTCTATTTCTAGGAGGGAAAGGCTGCATTTTCCATTTACTGTAGTACATCATTTCCTTCTTTGAAATAAGTGTATGGAGTGTGCCTATGGGGAGGGGGACTGTGGGAAAGGGCATAGTGAATTTTAAGGAAATGAAACACATCCATGACTGTGGATGCTCGGATGCTTGGGAAGAGAGCACTGTGGACCACGGGAGCAGGCAACTCCATCCATCACCCCGGAGTCTACTGTTCTTGTATCGCCTCCTGATCCTCTGCAGGAGGGATACAATTGACTTCCAGAATTCCTTCCCATGTGGGTCTCTTGAATGAGTGGGATGTCTGGAAAGATAACCTAGTTTTGTTTTTCTCTGGGGGGCGGGGCACATTCAGCCATTTCCCCAGCTTTGAGACCTGAGAAATTCAGTTTCTCTCACAGCCTTAGCCCTCTCTCCCATCAGCTTTTCTCCTCAGATACCTTAGCTGCCACAGGTCACACCCTCTACCCAGTCTGACTATTCAGTCAATAATGATAGAATACAGTGTGTCCCACGTTTAAATTTACAAGGTGAAGTCACATCTTTTCGTCTCCTTTCATCTCCTCCACATGACATTCCCGGGAGTTATGCCCTGTCTTGTGGGTGAGAAAACAGACCAAAGGAGGGGAAAAGACTCCAGGTTCCCTGGGGAAATAGGTCTTCATTCAAATCTGATGGTGCTCTTCATTCACAATGGCTCCACTGAAGCCCTTGGAAATCCCAGTAAGTTTGTGCTATCTGAAGATGGTTTAGATAACCACAAACAGTTTAATTGTAACCTGGCATCTGAGTAGGCTAGGGTGCAGGACTACTTCCGTTGAAGAGGGACTTCACCACCAGACCACCCTGACCTATGGTGGTCTGGGCCCCCCTTTTTTAGAACCCTCTTTTCTTAGCTTACCAGCACTAGCTGGTTTCCTAGCCTCCAGGACACCCCCAAGGCTGCAGCTACTCCTCAGATTGGTCCATTGTCTTTCCCCGAGTCCCTTCCTGACAGCAACCTAGCAAATTGAGAAGTTGATAAGATTCCATACTAGGGTAGTCTTTGAGAAAAAAAAAAAACAAAACCAAAACCAAAACAAAACAAAACAAAAACATCATTTTAAGGGTTGGAAGGGGCATCCCAGAGCCCTCACAATCCTTTAGTCCCAGTTTCAGCCCCGAGGTCCGCATGGGAAGATGTGGCAGTGTGGAGAAGGTCGGAAGCATGCGGATTGCTTTGGGGTCTCACCTGGTTATCCTTCGCGCCTCCAGGTGGCTTGGGGAGTCTCTCCGGCGCTTCCTCATGGGTGAGTAGGACCGTCGCCTCCTGCGTGCACGCTCTCGGGGCTGCAATTCCTTCTCACCGTACTTGGGATCCCTGCAGCAGGTTGCTTGGTAACTAGGGCTGGGCTAGTTTTTCTGCAGGTGCGTGCTGTGTGATACTCTTAACTGTCTCCGCCACCCCACTGAGACTGCCCTTTGCCAAGGCTCCCAAAGAAGACAGGGAATCTGACCCACTTTAGAAAGAATCTAATTAGGAGAACATCGTGGGGGCAAACTGGGCATTAGCAAGAATGGTAGCCTCTGCGTGCGTGCGTGTGTGTCCCTTGGCAGAGGCATAAAGGTTGGTGGTGGGTGAGAAGAAAAATAGCAGAAGGCCCTGGAGTGAGTGGGCAAGAATTGGGGTTGTGAATGCAGGGACAAGAGGAAGAACAAGTGTGCAAGAAGATGGAGCGCCTGGGCGTGAAAGGGTGTATGGGGGCCTTGTTGCCACTCTTGAGTGGACAGAAAGGACTGCATGAATTCCCGTCCCAGCCTCGCCAGGGCTAAGGATTGGGCAGGACTTCGAAGATTGGTACAGAGAAGCAAGGGGTGTGGCCCAGGAGCCAGGGCCCATCCCGGGGGTTGGGGGAAGGATGGTACCTGCTGGGACTGTAGCGGGAATAGCTGGGGCTGCGACGAGACCTAGAGCTTCTGCTAGGCGGGCTCCTCTTGCCAGACTTGGAAGAATAGCTGGGAGAGCGAGAGTAGGACCTGGGGAAGAGGGAAGAGCGCCTGAAGATCTGTGTTAGGGTTGTGTGGACAGTTAGGACTCTATGTACCTGGCCCCTAGGTGGCGCTCTTTTTCTTTGCGCAAGACTGGTTAAGGACCCGTTGTAACCAGAGAATGAAATCCTCTCCTTTATGAGTAATTAATAATAATATGGACTTCCTGTTATTTCTGAATGCTTATAGTTCTGGCCACTTTTTATCTGTGTGGTCTTGGGCACGTTCTGTTTTCTCGTCTGCAAAATGGGGTAGTAGTACCAATCCTACAAAGTTGGCTGTGAATCCAAATTAGAGTAAATCACTTCGAATATTGGTATATATTCCAAGTGCCAATTAGGCAGTATAATGGAAACAGTAACCACGACTATTATACATCTTATTAAGAGACACGCGTTGAACTGAAAAATGCTTTTGTTTCCCTCATCCTAGGGTTAGGAACTGTTAGTAATCTCACGTTATGGATGGAAAAACAAAGACACAGAAAAGTGACGTAACTTGATCAGGGTCACACAGCTAGTGGACATTTGAACCCAGGAGTGTCTGGCTACAAAGTGCTTTTTACTTCTACAGATTATAGCCCCCCCCCCCACCCCTTACCCATGGTTTGGCTTTTCTATGACTTCATGAATAGATTGGAAAAAAATAATCAGCAAGTGAAAAATTCTATAAACAAGTAATTCACAATTTTTATATTTCAAACTATTCTGAGTAGCGTGGTCAGCATTGCTGTCCTGTGCCACCCTGCCTGGGAAGTGGATGACTTCTTTGTGCAAGGTGTCCATGCTCTATACGCTACTTGTCTACTACCGAGAAGCCTTCTTGTGATCAGATCTACCACCACAGAATTGTAGTCCATGTGTGGAAGCAATTCCTATTTACTTAAAAAATGGTCCACAAGTATGAGAGTAGTGATGTTAGTAACTAATACATGTTATAAAACAGTGGTGTGCTTCCGCCGAGTGAGGGTGCAAGCATTCTCCATACAATAAGAAAGGAAACAAAACAAGACAAAACAAAACAAAACAAAACAAAAACAGGGGCTGAGCATCTGTCCTAAGCTATGTGGCAGGAACTGAGCTCTCCAGGAAATAGGGGAGCAGAGCTCACACTGATTTTGCTACAACACCTCACACCGAAAATATTCCATCATAGTGCACAATGGGTGCTTAGTTACCAAGAAGATGGGCAATGCCATTATAGAGTTTGGTACTTATCCAAGGGTGTGACTGCAGGCCCGCCATTGGCGATCATGGACCATGTCTCCTGTTGTCAAGAGAGCAAGGACAGCTCTTGGTGATGCATCTGAATTACCAGCCCTGTTGTCCATGCTTACGCCCCCTCTCTCACTACAGATGACCCTGCTCTTAGAGAACCTCACAGGAGAAGGAACACCTCATTCCTATTGAGTGCAGTGTGCCCCTCCCCCCGAAAGGTGTCTTGCCAGTTTGCTCTTTGCATTTGCATTCAGAAATCTTGTAGGAAAAAAAAAATAAGGCAAACGCTGGTTTTGAGATTACCAGCCAAAAAAGCAACTGAATTTTGATTATATGGTTGTGGAAGAGGAACAACCGACTTGCTGTTGGAAATTTTTGTTTGAAGAGGGAAGCTGGGCTCAAGGAGGCCATGAGGGTTGGATTAGATGGGCTATCCCAGTTCCTGAGAGCTTATGTCTGTATGTTCGAAGACGGAGCTATTCCGTCCAAGGTAACCAAACAATACCAATGGCTATTGAAGTTGGGGGGCAGATTACAAACAGCTGCAACTCTTCTTTCTATATCTTGCATAACCCCTGAAATGCAAACTCTGTAACTCCTTCCACTAAGGGATAATATTCTGACTGGGTCTTGTGACTTACTAGGGCTCAGAGAATAGCAGAGGAGATGGAATGTAAGTCAAGCTGAGAAGTAAGAAACCTTGAACATTACTGTTCTCTCTCTCTCTCTCTCTCTCTCTCTCTCTCTCTCTCTCTCTCTCTCTCTCTCTTTCGTCATCACCATGTGTATAAGCAGAGAGACAACACAGAACAGAGACGACTAATCACTGGATGAATTTCCATCCCCAGCCCCCAGCCAACTCACTATCTGGTCAAAAATACATGAAGGGGCTGAGGAGAACCAACCTGCTGAACCCAGCATATATTGCTAATACACAGAGTTATAAGAACTAAGTAAATACATTTTATGTGAAGGATGACGTTGGTTACTTTTTATGTAGAACTTAATTAATACTCATCTCATCCCCATGCCAACAAAACCAATAACAATGGATGGTCCTCGTGTTCTAAGTGCCTTCGCCCCAGGAACGAGCCACGGGGCCACCGAGTCATGCCTTCTTATAATTTTTCACACAACAGGAGCTCAGAGATGTTGACTGTCCTCCCAAGGCTGTCAGGACTAATGCTGGAGCGGGTTATTCAAAGTCAAATCTTACTCCTCTTCCCCACGAGGGAATGGGCATCTCTAGTTACCAAAACTCCTTGTCAAAGAGGGACATACAGGAGATGAAACATCAAAGATGTACTCACCTTTTTTCAGAAGAGGTGGACCGGCTCCGGGTGTACCTGGGGGAGGCTCTGTGGTTTGGGGACCGGGAAGAGGGGCTGGAAGATCGAGTGCTGGTGTAGGAGGAGCTACGGGAACACTCTTTGATGGGGGAGCTCCGGGCTGTGGATGGGACCAAACTAGACTTCTTCACCTCAGCACACTGGAGACATGGAAACTGAAATCCTCTGCAGGATGGAGAACATCTGTCATTATTCAGCAGCCCTTGCTCTGGGGGTACCTGGACCTGAGGCTCCCTCGAACACTTTTGACTCAGAGAGAATATCCTCAGTTTCTAGTTCCATCTCCTCACTTTCTGGGAAGCAGTGCCAGGTGACAGAATTTAGAAAGACCTCACAAGTAGACCGATAATTAATCCCATTCAGCATCCCCTAGGGAGAGGACACAGCATTCCAGGAGGCCCCTGTGAGCACAAGGCTACATAACATCACGTGGTGAGAGAGTCCTCCTTCTCCCTTTCTTGTCCTTGTCCAGTCCTTCTGATTGTATGAATGAGAAAGCCCTGGCTGGGTGCTAGTGGGCTATTAGCACATCTACAACACTTTGTAATCTCCCCAAGATAAAGGAATAGGCCCCAGGGTCAGAGCCTTGAGCAGGAAACTGTAACTGACCAGCGTTAGATACACTGTCTTAATCATATTCCCGCGGGTGTTTTCTATTTGTTCCAGCAAGGGATATACATTTCCACACAGAAATAGTCATGTGATCGCAATAAGCAAACCAGCGAGAGCATAGCTTAAAAGAATCTAGAAGGTGACTCATGGTTAGCTTAAGTTTGGGCAACCTTGATGTAGCCCACTTTGCAGATGGAGAGACTGAGAGGCTTCAAAGCAGTTGGGCGGAGGCTTGTTCATCATCAGACAAAGGGTAGGGGGTCTTGGTTTTACATCCTCTCTTGTCTAGGGACATTCTGAACTCCTTCGGAGGTCCTCGTGACGCATGCTCATCATTAGGCCAAGAGTCAACTTCAAGTCACATTGATATACTTGAAAGGTTCGCTTTTGCTCACCTCTATAGTCCTGGCTCTTGACCTAACAGGCTGTCTCCTCCGAAACAAAATGTCCTATTCTGTCCTTTGTCTTCTGACTTTAGAACATGTTGGCATCTGTTCTTTAGAACATGTTGCCTTCTCTCATCTTGCCATCTAGCCATTGCTCTACACTTGGTTCTGGCTCAGCTTGACCTCATCTTCTTAGAAAAGCCTTTAGAGCAGTCTCTCGACCCTCCATTCTGGGTTGAAGGTTTCCTGTGTGTTACATGGTCCCCCTGCCTAGCTCCCCCCCCCCATCCCTACATGACTCATTTTGGTCTTATGACCATGTGTCTTCCTCTCTGGATACTGAGCTCATTGGGGAAAGGACATCTGACCCCTGGACTCTATATCATCCACACAAGCTTGTCACGTGGCATTTTAAGTCATCCCGTCTATGTCTTGGGCTCTCCACAGCATCATCTCATTTACTCTTCTCAATAACATGATGTGTCTGGTTCTACTGTTATGACCGACCAAGTTATGGAGGGGGCTTGGAAGGATTAGCGACTCGCTCAAGGTCACTTGAATTTGTTTAGACACATACATGTGTGCGCACACACACATGCACACACGCACACACATACCCTCATACACATACACACAATTCCTGTCCTTACCCTCTGTGTCTGTGGTGCCCTTGACTTCCAGCTCATATCTCTTCTCTTAGCCCATATTTATTGAGCCCTTTGTCTATAGCTGGCAGGACATAAATACCCATGATTTTACCATCATTTACATTCCAAAGTGAAAGACTGGCTCTAAATTATTTAATTTGGCTGTCTATGTATATCAAATGAAGCAAGTAGCAGCTATATATCTCTGGGAGCGGGGGTCTTGTTTTAGAGAGAGGTCTGGACTGCAGTGCTGCTTTTGCTGCTTATTAGCTGCATTTGTCTGAGTCTGTGCCTCTGTTTCCCATCAGCTTACAGAAAGGTTGGAACAGTGCCTATTGCAAAAAGGCACTAACAGGAGCGGAGGAAAGCTAGTCGTGGGAAGCAGTTTTTGCGGTGTATTATCTGGCTCAGTAGAGACTAATGGCTTCTTAATTAATGAATACTAATACTTATCATTATTATTATTATTGCTGCCTTTTCTCTTGATCCTCCCTAATCACAGCACTTTAGTGCGTCAGTAGATATGTGGCGGCCTTCTTCTCCCATGCGGGAACTTCACTGTCTGCTCTTGGAGAGGCTGACATTTGCACTGACCCAGCTCTGGCTTCCAGCAAGTGTGGGCATGAGCTGAGGGCAGGGATGTCCCAGAGCAGGTCACCCAGAGAATGGGCTACATGTAGACCCAGGCTGTTTGTCCAGCCAGACTAGGTCTTGTGCTAGAGATAAGGGGCGCTCTGTCCTTGAAGAAGCTGTGTGTGGCTATCATGGGCAATCTTAGCCACGTAGAACAGAGGTGTGCTTGAATCCCCAGCAGGGGCAAAGCCCCCGTGTTTTTCTGGATAGAGTGTGCTAGCCAACTTCCCCCCAACCTTGTGCCCAGTGAATTATAAACTCAGGAAAGGGGGCCTAGCCATTTCCTCGCTCCTAGCATCAAGCTGAGAGCTACCACAGGGTGTGTCTGGCAAGAAGGTGAGGGAGAGGTAACAGAATGGATGGTACAGACTAGGTGGCCAGAAAATTTAAAATGCTACTCTTATGAAAGTGTGCCTAGTGGTTAGCGTTAGGATGTGATTTTTTTTTCAGATTCTTTTTTATGTTTGTGCATGTATTCTGTGTGCATGTGTGTCTGAATGTGGGTGTATGTTTGTGGGGAGGTGCAAGCTGATGCCCAAAGTCTTCCTCCTCCACTCTCCCTGCTCTTCTTTGGGGCAGGGTCTCTCAGTTAAATCCAGAGCTTCCCGACAAGCCTCTTCTCACTAACCAGCTTGCTGGGGGATCCCTTGACTCTGCCTCCAGAGGGCAGAATTACAGGCAGGCCGTCACGCCCCCCCCCCCCCCGACATTTACACTGCTTGCTTGGCAAACATGTCAAGCACTGAACTGTCTCCCCAGCTGCTGTTTGCTGTGATCACTTGAGTGACAGAGCAGTTGGTGATGAAATGGTGGCATTGTCATCGGCCTGTAAACAGACGTGTAGACGTATGTTCAAAGGGAAAGAATGCGGGTAATGAGCACAGCGCCAAACGAAAAGACCCATCCCTCAACTCTACGGTGATAGCTATGTGTTTCCATGGATACATTTTATTTTAAAGCCCTTTTAATTTCCAGGCACAACTGAGCACCAAGCATGGGTCTCCTGGCCTCCAGGACTTCATCTCCCACAACCAACATTCCTCACCAAAGCGGTCCATGTGTTAGGACCGAGGAGACAGCACCTCATGCCACCACCCAAGCCCATAGATCTGTCAGGCTTACTCTTGGTGTTACATGTCCGATGGCTTTGGATGAGTCACTGGCATTTATCCATCATGAATGTATCATGTGTTATAATTTCACGTAGCTGAAACTGTGTGTCCTTTGCATAAAGTGATAGGACATTATTATTATTATTATTATACAAATAATAATCTAGAGTCTGGATATACCACAGTTTATTCACCTTTTAGGTTTTAATTAGACTTGGTTGCCTCCAAATTCTAGAAAGTATGAACTCCTATAATCATATATAAGCAGTTTTTTTTTTTTTGGTGTGAAATTGTTTTCAATTTATTTTGGTTAGCACTGTGACATGCAACCAAGAGGGACTTAAATGAAATTCATGTTAGGCGTTCCCTGAGACTCTTGGTAAGTTGGCATCTATTTTTAGCTCCCTGCCATCTATCCATCCCTCCTGATATCAACACTCTGGCTTTTCCTGCGGAGACATCTGGCTCTAACCTGTAACTCAGCACCTGCTGGGCCAGAGAGACTGTTCCGAGGGGACAAATGACCCAAGCTGGGCCAAGCACAGCCAATTAGCACTTGTTTTGATAATTTTGCTAAGATTTCTGTGGGGGCAGGGCAGAGGCATTTTTCTGTTGGGGGCGGGGCCGAGGTGTTAGTCCGTTGACTGATTGGAGACACAGGTACTGAGCATATTTGCAAACCTCTGGGAGGGCCTGCTTGAGAATGAAGCCAACAAAGCGCGGGAACAGAGCTGAGGTCCAAGTCAAAAGATAAAGATGCAGGAGCACACTTTGGACCCCTGGGTCCTGCTGTACCTGAAGCGAGTGTGTGTGTGTGTGTGTGTGTATGTATGTGTGTGTGTGTGTATGTGTGTGTGTGTGTTTAATCAAGCAAATTTGAATGGAATGTCCTTTCTTTTGCGAATGAAGACGCCTAGGAAGAGTAGGGCCCTATGATGAGACAGTAGTAGGAAAGTGACGCTGAAGCGGGGACCCTCCCACCGCCAAAGATGCTAACCTTGACTCACTGCTCCTGCGGGTGGGAGAACCGTTCTCCAGAACAGCCCCCTTGTTCTGCGGGGAGGAGGTGGTGAAGGAGTTCCCTGAATCGGAACTGTTGCCGCAGTTGAGGTCCCTACTCTTGCTCAGACCCCCAACGGGGCTCCCCTTCTCCTGGCCCCGCGACCGGGCGGAACTGGTTTGCGTGGAGGGCGGCGAGGAGGTGTCATTGCCTGAGTCGTACTCCTGCGAGCGTCCTCGGGAGGCGGTGAGCGGGCTGGTTGATTTGCTAAAGAGGTCAGCAGCAGACCCCGACCCAGAGATCTGAAAGCAAAAAGACCCGTCGGACCCTGCTGAGCTCCGGGCTGTGCGTAAGTAACCAAGAATGTTAACCATCATGAGTCACTGTAACGAAAGCAAAGAGAGAGGGGAGAGAAGAGACGCCAAAAAACAAAAGCACAAATTCCTGATAGAATTCCACAGAAATAGGAGACCTCTAGGTATTTTGTTTACCCCCTGCTAGAATAACTGGAAGATTTAGGAATCATGCAGGGAAAAAGGCATGCGATTCAGATTAAACAAAAGTAAAAAGAAATTATACAAAACATAATCTTTAATGAACTCAAACAAAAGAGACAAATCAATAGAAAGGGGAGGGCTGTAGACACCCTTAACTTCAAACAATAATAAAAATAAAGGAATGGGGGGGGAATAAAAAGAAAAGGGGCTTCAGGCCTCAAAAATTATATCTTGGAAATTAAAAACACAAAAGGAGATAAAGGCAAATTTTAAATTTCAACCCAAATCCTCAACTAACTTTTTTTTATTTTTTAAAGAAAAAGTTGCCTGAATAAAACCCTAAACAAATGTCTCTTGGGACAAAGAAACAAAGATGAGAATTGGTTTCTTTCTTTTTCTTTTCTTTTTTCCCTTTATTAAAAAAAAAAAGGCAAGGTTGCAAACTGACGTTTGAGCAATTTCCAAGTAAAGAAGTCAAGAGAGGGAGGGGACAAAAATAAATGTAAAGTCAAATAGTCTGGCTGAAAACAAACCAAAAACAAAACAAAATAACAAAAGAGTCTCTACAGGCATTTGTGCGCGTCCTTCTCCCTCGAAGGAGGTAGCTAAGCATCCTGAGTGGCTTCTAATAAATTCTCTCATGTCTTTGCGGATTACGTCACTTACCAAGCAAGGACTCCTCCTTTAGTAGGAAAGGTGTAAGAGAAAGGGAAGAGCGGGCAACGTGAGTCCATCATCAGAGGCGTAAATGACAAGAAAAAACACACACCTTCCTACACAACCTTAACCTTTGGCTTTGGGGTGCTCAGAGCAGATCTCTCTCTCAGGGAGACCTAACTTCATCCACTTCGCCAGTCCCTTCCTGCCCAGGTTGGATGGTGGAGACCTTTACTGCGTTGGTACCTGGAGCCATGGATGGTACGGTAGAGACCTAGTCCTGTACTCCAGGGGACACCAGGGAGGGAGCATGTGACTTCGACTGGAAGGACCTTGGACATCAGGGAATGAAGATGCCTCAGAGTCCTCTTTTGGGACTGGCCTAGGAAGACTGAGAGGTTTCGGGGGTTGTGGGGACTTAGCCCTTGGGAAGGGAATTCTAGGCTGAAGATCTGTTTGTCTTCACGTTTAGGTCAGGCTGTGGCTGAAAAGTCACAGTGAATTTGCCTCTGTCTCCTAGCCATTGTACCACGTTTAACTGTGGGCAAGAGGGATCCTCACCCTGGGTGTTTCCTAACCATACATTTTTCCTCTATGGGGAGGAAAAATCTGGGTGATCAAGAAGTCACTCCCTGGAAACCACACTTCCAGAGTATTCGCTCTGGGGTACTTGGGTTCCTAAATTCTCTATTTAAATGGTTCCTGAGCCTCCCTCTGGGGTATATGCCTTCTCCACAGATCTGTTTTTCCGCAAGCAACCTATGTTTCAAGTGGGCCATCTGAACAGAACCTGCGTGATCATGTTGATGTGTCCAAGTGCCTGTGTGTGGGGCCCATCACACAGTCACTGGTAACACATGGGTGGCAGAGGTAGGAAGCCTGAGACCCTGGGGCAGCTTCTTCCTCGCTGCCATGTTGTATGCCAGAGCAGGGAAGGGCCTGAGCTTTTGAATTCAAAGGTAACTTTCCTATCACTGTACAGACATGCTGGCCTCAGCCACTCAAGAGGGGACATACTTGATGCCTTTTTGAGTTTATTTATGAGCGTTTAAGCACCTTGGCTAGTCCTGTAGTTTACACATACTAGAAAAAGCTTTCCCATAAAAAAATCTATTTCCCCCCAGCTTTATGCCCTGCTTTGAAGACTTGCTGGAGAGGGGACACTGAGCTTTCTTAAGAAACCACTTCTGACTTGAGGGGGAAATGTGGACACCTGGAACTGAAAGTCACAGAGAGAACCCCGACAGTTTGGAGTGCCAAATCCTGGGGGTAGGAAGCAGGACTTTTTTCTGGTTTCTTCCAGGAAGTTTTGCACATGGGCAACATAATGGTCTAGCCTTAGCAAATCCTGCCAGTTCATCGTGATTATCTGGCTACTTTGCCTTGAAGGTGGCACCTCAAAATAAGGTGGCCAGGTGGAATTTTCTAGAAGCTCCTTTTCATGTAATATACACACCTTCACTCCCATTCAGCTCCTACTAAATTGGATGACATTTCTTTCCCACCTCTGACGTCCAATGGTCTCATGACCGTTTCCTTTCTCACCTCTATTAGGAGTGAGAAACCACCATGACGATGATGATCTGAGGTTTTAGGCTGGGCTTTGGACAGGCAAAGGATCAAGGGATTTTTGACCTGGAGTGAATGGTGGAGTGGCCAGTACATTTGAAAGCAAGCCAGTCTTAGAGGGCACAGGCCGACAGAGAGTTCAAGGGCAGGTGCCTGGCAGTTCAGTGCAGTATCTTGTAACTTGCTCCCTGGGGCATCTAGACTAAGTTTTTCTTCTTCAAGTACTTTCTCCTGGTATTGACTTAAGTTTAAAATCATCTGTTTTACTGATGTGTCATGGTTCCCTGTGAGCAAAGATTTTGAGCATGAAGTCTCTCTAGGATGGTACATATATATATAGAGGGGGACCTTGCCTTCTGCACACAGCACCCCACAACCTGAGGTCGCAGGGATGTTTGCAGTGTCTCCACCTGGCTATAAGTTATGCACAGGTGGTTTGTGTGTTTGACCTGATAGCTCTGCATAGGATGATGCTTTTCATCACCAGGAAATAGAGGTAAAGTCCTGCTGGGGTGCTCACACTGGGCAAGAGTGCCAGGGTACACAAACCTCCTGGACGCTCCCACTTCTTTAAAAGACTCATTCCTTTGGTTGAATCTAAGCTCACTGACGTGAGTTACAGTGTTCTTTACAAACCTGCCTCACCTGCTTCATAAAACAACCCTGAGAACCTCACAGACCACCCTTCCATGCCTTCCCAGGCTGCCTTTCACTGTCCATGCTGACCAGCATGTGTTCTTGGTTTGGCTAACACACACCACAGTCCCATCGCCAGATCATTTACATATCCCATTTCCTCTGGCGGAAAAAACACTCTTCCTGTCTCCTCCACCTATCACCTTCTCTGATCACCAAGACCACACCCTATTATTAATTAAATCCATCTTTCGACCAACCGCTCCCTCCATATTAAATGCCTTGTTACTCAGTAGGGGTGGTGACTTATTTGACTGTCCGTCTCTTCACCCATGTGTTGAGAGCGGGGACCCTGGCTGGTGCACTGTTGTACACCAGGACCCTCTAGTGCCTGCCTCAGGGTAGCTGCTTAGCAAACCTTGCTTAAGCCAAACTCCTCCTTGGTCCCTTGGGAGCTGCAAGGACGCAGTCTTCTGTAGAGGTTCCTGTGTGACCAGGCAAGAGTGGAGTCTGCTCAGATGGATCTCTTTTTTTGAGAGAGGACTCATTTAAATCATAATAAAAGCAGCTCCACAAAAGTCCTGGAGTCTTGATGCCAATTTAAGGGCAAGGATTAAATCTGGACCATGGTGAGAAGAGAGGTTCCCCTTTAGATTTTCTCTTCTTTTGAGTTCTCCCTGACCAGGGCAACAATAGAAGAACTCGGAGGCTCTGCCTGCACACTCTCACTGGCATGTGTTCTAGATCTCAGACAAGGATTTCGAGACCCATAGAGTCTTCTGAGGGAGACAAGCTGCAATGGCCCACCTCGCTTTCTTTTCTTTGTTCTGATACTTTGGAAGGTCAAGTTGAAAGAGGTACCAAGAGCCTGGAAATTGGTACACAAAGGACTGTTAGCTTTAATTCTGGCTAAGCACCTCAAGCTAAGGGATTTTTTTAAAAAAGTTGTCCCTTCAGAATGTCCTACCAGTTTCTGGAGCAGACGGCTCACATCACTATTGAGGGTCTGGGCAGTGGAGGCTTGGTGGCGTTTCACTTCTCGCTGGCTTCTCACGACATGGCCAGCATCACCTGATGCCCCCATTTAGCAATGCCCCACTTGGTTTGCCCCATTTAATGGCTATTGTGGCAGGGATAAAGGAGTCATCTGGAGCTGTTTCAATTCTTGGTTCATATGAACACCGTTCTGTTTACAGGTTTTGGTGGACTCTGTTTAGACTTTCCGGTGGGAGGATATTTTAATAAATTTGTCATTGGAGGTATATGTCCTTTAATAGCCCCCTAGCCCCAGACGCCACCTTCTTCAGAGGGCTCAGTTCACTCTAGAGGAAGAGGAGTAAAGTCACAGTGGAATAGCCCAAAGCAGAATGGGTCCCAGGGGAGAGGGACCATGGAATCAGGAGACTGAATGTTGTGACAGGTGACAATGGGGGCATCTGTTTTCTTGTCTGTGTCCTCTCATCTTGGAACATCTTCATAACAGATATTCCCCATGGCACACAAGACACGAGCAGTCTCTCCACTCAGCATCGTGATGATTGGATGGCTCCGATTTGCTCCTGGTAACACACACTTGTGCTAATAGCCCCCTCTAAAGCCACCTTTAAGGAACTCTCCATCTGGTAGGGATGTTTATGTGTGCAGTGGCTCTCTGATCCCGTATACCTGGCTGCCCAGTGGCCCCCAAGTCTCTCACAAACAGAAGCTATCAGACCCCTCACCATCCAATAATAATGGTCCCACAATTCTGGGATCCCCAGAATCCTCTTATTAGAGTTCTCTTCTCTGGTTTGTTATCATCTCTTCATCTGTCTCAACCTTAACTCTTCTTGTTCTGTTCTCTCCAAAGCTAATCTTGGGTACATGGCAAGAAAGCCGAGTCTAAGAGTTGGCCAGTTACCAAGGAAGCCATTCATATCTAACCTGGACCCCCAGAAATTAAGACAAGAATTTGAGAGTTGGTGGCTAATTTTGAGAGATGAAGGAATTCCTTGTAGAGAAGAGAGGATAAGAGCCAAGTGAGAGGGAGCCTTAAACTGTCTAAAAGGGCAGTAGAGCTTAACCCAAGGAGGATTCTGGGAGTGTGGAGAGTACCCCAGAGGCTGGGTACTTAGGCACCAGCCCTTCACTGCACATGAGGAATCCTGTCCCTAAAGGATGCTGGTTCCTTTTTGTGTTCAGACTGCTACACAGGCAGGCGAAGTGCACCTTAGTGATCAGAGGGTACCATCTGGAACCTGGCGGCCAGCTGTGTGCCCTGAGTTGGGGAGAATAAGGGATGCTGGAAACTGCTTCGATCCATCAGGTTGATCATGGAGAAGTGTTCGCTTCGATCCATCAGGCTGATCATGGAGAAGTGTTCGGTCCACTGGCACCGTGCACAGCTAGACTTTCTTTAGCCCATTTAGTGAGTTTGAACAGAAATATGAATGAACTTCCACTGTGTGCTGAGCAGGGAGGGTTCACACAACAGCCTCACTTCTGATTTTTATCGGACAATTAGGTCTGGGCCTGTATTCCCTGGAAATGCTCATTGCTGGGCTCATAGACTCGGGTTCCTAGTTTTCACATTGCTAACTACGGGGCCCTTGAGATAGTCGAGACCTTCTGCCCTGAAAGTCCAGTGCTACCCTGACCCCTCAGAAGCAGCATGAACACAGTACCCCTGGTCTGTTTCATGTCTCCCTTTTAGAGCTATGAAATACACCACACTTCTTTCCCATGTCAACCCTTAAAGTCCACATTGGACTGTTATCCACGTAAGGAACCAGGAGACCAGAGCCCTTAAACCACAGTGATGACAAATGCTTCACTCCTGGCTTATGCAAGGTAACCCCAGCTATGTGTTTATTGATACTATTTGCGTATATGTACATGCCTGTAGAACTCAGTGGTCACCATTGGTGGTCTTCCTCGATCACTTTTCTCCCTTAATTTGTGAGGCGGGGTCTCTCCCTGAACCTGAGCCCAGCTGTTCAGTTACACTGACTGACCAGCAAGCCTCAGGGATCCACTGTCTCTGCCTTCCCAGTGCTGGGGTTACTGGTAGGTGTCATTATAAATGTTACAACTCTGAGGCAGAAAGACATCTTGGCAGTTGAGAGCCAAGGAATACCACAAAGTCACACTGGTAGCCCAGAC